TACTCATTTACCAGCTCAGCCAACAAGCCAGACAGAAAATATATATATATAAAAAAAACAAAAATTAAATATGAAATTGTAAGCTTGATTCTCTACCAGATGGACCAAGCTTGCGGGTTGGACCCGTCTGTTTGCCTATGAGAGACGGGTTTGGGTTTCAAGTTTTGACCCACAAATCGGCCTGACTCGACCCATAAAAAAGCCCGATGAGCTTAGCTAGTGAGTGGGCTTAGACACCTTTTTTGTTCCCCAATCCAGCCCAGCATGGTGTGGGCCTTATCATTTTTATGGACCCGGATTGCCGTACGAGCTGGGGCGGTGTGGTCTTCAACTCTGCGTAGAATAATATATTTTTTTCCGCGTCAAGCGAGACCACCTTGCAAGAAGAGTGAAGAATGTGCATTGAGGCAACAAAAATGAATTCAAATCATTTGTCTTTTTGTATATATTATTTTCTATCCTCTTAAACTTTATTAATTCATAGCATGGAACTTTCTTGGCACACAATAGTGCAGTCAGAATTTTCACTCAGCAGAGTCATTCAGTAAGTTATTAAAATTGTATCTGTTGTGGTTGAAATAAAATTGAAAAGAGAATAAATGAACAGATAAACTTGTTTCAAAAATAAATAATGTTATACGAACTAATAAAATTTTATAAAAAACTTGACTTGCTGATATGATACATATTATATTATTGAAGTAAGTTATATTTTAATTTTCAAAGTTTTATCAATGCTTTACACATTTGTTAGCAAAAAATTTAAAAATATGTATGACATTTTCCTTCTAAAAGGTTGAAATTTTGCATAATTTAAAAAAAAATAAAAATCGATTGGGTCATTTTTTAAACTTCAAATTTTAATATTTTGTTCTTAGATCCACCAGGGTCATTTTATTAAAACTAAAAATTTTTGTACAAAATTTGGCTTATATTCTAACAAAATTTGGTAGTCCAGCGACACCACTAAACAGATCCGCCACTCATCCTGCCTATTGATCAACTAACTATAGTGAGACGAGTCTATTATTTTTATTTTTAAAATAATGACAATAAATATGATTTTAAAAATAAAATATTTATTTTTTATTTGAGTAATGTCAAGAATTATGAAAAAAAGATTATGAAATGTTTTATGAAAATTTTGTATCCTTTAATTAGAGTGTGGAATTTTATTGTACGTGTAATCTAAGGGTGGAGAATCTTTATGAAACATTTCTTGATTTTTTTTTACATGATCCCTAGTATAGGAAATTTTTTTTCAAAACATAGACAAATTTCTTTGTTTTTGAAATTTCTTTGATTTGCTCAATTCCTCTGGTTTTTTCTATGTTTTTAAATTTTTATGGGTTGAAATTTCTCTAATTTACTTACAAATTTCTGTGTTTTGATCAATTTTCTTTAATTTACTTATAATTTTTTATGTGTTTTTTATCAAATCAAAGAAAATTGAACAACCACCATGAAATCTTTTTTTTTGTGATTGAGTGTTTTTCTCTTTATTCTTGAAAATTCAAGAATGAGATCTGCACACTCTGCAGGATCTTTGTTTGCTGATGTGACTGGTTCTTAACTTGCCAAGTGTTTAGATATCATTGGTGGTTGGTGTAACGTTGGGTTCCAAGAATATTGGGCTTTAATATTTGAATCATGGATTGGGCCTTAAGTGGTGGGCCATATCCTTTATGGACCCACCCATATCAAGTGAGACGAGTCTATTATTTTTATTTTTAAAATAATGACAATAAATATGATTTTAAAAATAAAATATTTATTTTTTATTTGAGTAATGTCAAGAATTATGAAAAAAAGATTATGAAATGTTTTATGAAAATTTTGTATCCTTTAATTAGAGTGTGGAATTTTATTGTACGTGTAATCTAAGGGTGGAGAATCTTTATGAAACATTTCTTGATTTTTTTTTACATGATCCCTAGTATAGGAAATTTTTTTTCAAAACATAGACAAATTTCTTTGTTTTTGAAATTTCTTTGATTTGCTCAATTCCTCTGGTTTTTTCTATGTTTTTAAATTTTTATGGGTTGAAATTTCTCTAGTTTACTTACAAATTTCTGTGTTTTGATCAATTTTCTCTAATTTACTTATAATTTTTTATGTGTTTTTTATCAAATCAAAGAAAATTGAACAACCACCATGAAATCTTTTTTTTTGCGATTGAGTGTTTTTCTCTTTATTCTTGAAAATTCAAGAATGAGATCTGCACACTCTGCAGGATCTTTGTTTGCTGATGTGACTGGTTCTTCACTTGCCAAGTGTTTAGATATCATTGGTGGTTGGTGTAACGTTGGGTTCCAAGAATATTGGGCTTTAATATTTGAATTATGGATTGGGCCTTAAGTGGTAGACCATATCCTTTATGGGCCCACTCATGTCAAATAATATTATGAATCTCTCGCATTATCACAAATTAGAGAAAAGTGTTAAGACTAAATATCCCCCTCACATTACTCAACCTTAAAATACCCTACAAGATAAATTATTGAAGTACGGCCGGTGTTGGACTCAATTTTAGATATACACGGTAAATGCCATCAATAGGTATAAGGAGATCTTTTCTACTTCTTCCCAATCATTAAAAAAAATATTTTGTTGGGCTTATGCGAAAGGAAAAATAAGAAAAGTTATTCAACCCGAAACAAAACAAAACAAAATAAAATTAAAAAAAATTAAGAAAAAAAAAACAAAGGAAAGAAAAGAATAAGGTAAAAAAAAGGTTACATATATTTATTTTATTTTCATTTTCATTTTCCTTTTTGATAATAAATCCAAACACACATTTGTGTACCAGCTCTTGTAACTCTTCGAACCATCCAAACCAATGTTCTTGTCACTCAAAAATGAAAGTAAGAATTTTATGTTTTTAAATATCGTGGCATCGACGAAATCCCAAGATGGAAAAGCATGGGTCCCACTGGATGCTCTGTTTTAAACATTAATGGTAAGAATACATGTACCTTATGCCCTGTTTTTATATGAATTTATTCTACTATATATGCACCAAGATTACTAGGAACAACAACAACAATAACAGAAAAGAAAAAAAAGACACACAATGGCTGATATAACAATCACTTTAGTTTCAGTTATTCTGTTGTGTCTGTCTGCAGATGGACGAGCAAGAACATTACCATACTTGATCAACGGTCAAGGTGGCAGGTCTCTATCATCCTTGGTTGCTGATGATGGTATCTGCAAATCACTGGTGGACACTCAAGGCTATGTTTGTGAAGAGCACAATGTATGATACCATCTGTAACATTTGCCTCCCCTCTGTTTCGACTATAAATATTTATTAAAAAAAAATACTAAATAATTTTTTACGAATTTTATCTACCGCATGAATATTTTTCGGTGTAATTGTAATTTTAAAATTAATGTGTTGGTGTGGTAAAGTGACAGTGGTGGTGGTAAAGGTAACGATGTGGGTGTTTAAGAAGTGGCTATTTTAAAGATTTTTTTGACTTTTTAACTATTTTAATAGGTTATTTTAGTTTTTGTGTTTGGAAAGATTGGATAGATTTTTATTTGAGTTGGTATATTGAAAAATGTGTTGAAATGATATTTGAAGTTAAAATGACAAATTTGTTCCTAACCTCAAATTTCTCAAAATTAATCTAAAGGGGCAAAATTGTAATTTACCAACCTGTCACTCCGTGACAGCCCCACGGCCGAGCTATTTTTTATTTATTTAATTTTTTTTAAAACCATTGATTTAGGGGCTATTAGGTTTTTTTTTGTTTTTTGTTTTTGAGACTATTTTAGCCTTAAAGTTAGGTTGCCAAACACCGCCAATATTTAATAAATATTTTATTTTATATTTACTTATTTGAACTGCACATATTACGTATATCACCCACTAATATATATATATATATATATATATGCGCACAGTATTACCAAGTTAATGCTTGACATGGATTAATTTTAAGTTTCAAGTTATATATTTCTCAAAAAATAAATTAATTAATTAATTAAATTAAATTAAATTATAAGATCACAAATTGTTTTGGGTGCATGTAATAGTTACCATTTATGCTCCGTTTAACGCGTAGGCGTCAATATGAAGAACCTGGGGGTGCTGCTCTGACTTAGGGCTAGTTTGGCATGTACTAAATAAGTCAAAAAGTCAAAAAGTCACTATCTTATTTAAGTCACATCATCTTATTTAAATCACATCACCTCTCTAACACATCACATCAAACCCAACCCAAACCCAACCCAAACCCACCAATAAGTCAAAAAGTGCACTTTTTTAGGACATCCCAAACCAACCCTTAGTCACAGCAGCAATTTGTTGTGCTTTTATGGAGGATTTTTTTGAGTTTTTTTTGATAATCTGAACCGTTTATATTGTAGGGTTTGTTAAATAAATTATCTATGCAAAAAATCAAATTGATTGAAAATCTATAACACTATAACAAGAGTACATTTGTTTTTAAAAAAATAAACGGTTAACATTATCTTGATAATTTTTGTAAAACAATTTGAATCTGATCATAGGGTTACGGATTTCTAATTAGTTTAATTTTTTGTATGGATGATATACTCGACAAACCCTACAATATGAATGGTTCAAATCATCAAAAAAGACTCAGAAAAAGCCCTCATGGGCTCACAGCAGCAACCCTAGGTCCCTATAGAACCTTAACGCCTTGCAATAGCATAATCGCAAAACTCTGCAATAATGATCCGAAACTGGAAAGGATACCCTGGTGGTGGGTGGTGGTCCGAAAGTGGGGGCGGGTAGGTGGTGGGTGGTGGCGTCAAGGATGTAAGTATAAGTGACCATGGTGGTCAGGAAGTACAGTGAAGGCAATGGCGGGGGTCGAAATAACGATTAGGGTTAGAATTTAAAAGAATTAGAGATAGTCGAAGATGAAGAGGATAAAAATGTCTTTTTAATTTTAATTTTACATTATTATTTTGGATGCTTCTATTTACACACCACATTTCATCTCAAGGCACATCATTACTCAAGGCACACTTTTAATAATTTGATAAATAAGAAATTTGCTCAATACATACCACAATCTTCCATCTTTACCCTTACTCACACATCCCACCCACAATCTTAAATCTTTCATTTCCTTAAAAAAATTTATTACATCTTTATCCTTCTAGTTAATTACAATTTTAACCTTCACACAAATTTCTCAATCCACACAACCCACCCCTACTAGTCCTAACCCTAACCTTAACTGCCATCGTCGCTGCCCGCTTGCCGCCCGTCGCCGTCGCAGCCATTACCAGCTTCGACCGCACCTCCTCCACCATTCCTAGCTCTGATAAGCCACCCCTTGCTATCCCTATCTCTCCTATCCCAACTTTAATCCTAAACCCTAACATCTCCTCACTACTGCCGCCAGCGTTGCCCTTCTGAATCCCCTTCAGTCAGCGCCTCTTCTCTACAAATCCCCGCTCCACTTGCAGCTCCTCTCTCCTCTTATTTCCACTCATAGCCCTTTCTTCTTCTTTTTCTTCATCTTTTCTTCAAACCCTGGATCTGGAAACCCAAATCTATCTTTCTCTCTCTCTCTCTCTCTCTCTCTCTCTCTCGTAACTGCAGATCGAGTGATGGAGTGGAGGAACTGAGTCACACTGTGGAGGGGATCTAGATGATGGAAAATGGTAGAAGTTGGCCAACGGGACTGGAGAGGGGTGACGGGGGTGAGAGAGATACGAGTTGCAATGTCAGTAGTGAAGGAAATGGTAGTGCGAGCTGCTACCATGGCAGGGGCGCAAATGGATTAAGGATGGAAACAGAAAAGGGGATGGTGTCGGTTGGAAGGTAGCGGCGGCAGAAAAAGGTAGGATGGCTAACGGTAACAGTTGATGGCAGCGGCTGCGGGGTATAGTTAGGGTTAGGGTTATAGTTATGGTTATGAGGATATTTTGGGAATATTTGAAAATTGATAGTGTGTATTGAGTGAAAAATAAAAAATCAAAATTGGATGTGGTGTGCAATGAGTAATTGGTGTGTATTACGTAAGGTGTGTATCATAACCCTTTATCCTTTGTGGTCATTTTACATTAGGTTAATATTGTAATAAAAAATAAATTAATTAATGATGTGCCTTAAGATGAAAGATGGTGTGTAAATAGAGGCACCCTATTATTTTGTTGTTAAGATAAAAACAACCCCACCACAATGTTTTAGCCTTCGTTTGGTTAACTATTTCTTCTTCTTTTTTTTTTTCTCTCTCTTTTTTTTTTTTTTTTTTTGAACATGTAAATTGGAAAGACAACAAGAACCAGAGATCACAAAACTAACTATCCTTCAACAGAGCCGCCAGAGAACCAGGGGAAATAGACACCCAATCGTTTGGCTAACTTAGTTGGGCTAAAAAAATTACAAAAGATAAAATAGATTAAATAAATCAATAAGGTGTAAATGTCACATCTAAAGTATAATTATTTTTTTTTCTCACAAAAGTAAAAAAAAAATCAAATCAAACGAACATTTTAGTCCCAAGCTAAAAAAGTCTCAACTCACTAAAATTAACTAAAAAAATAACCAATGGCGACTTAGTAATTTTTATTTTTTGACATTTAAATGTCAAGAAATAAAAACTAAATCATTTTTTTTACAAAACAAACTGAGCATAGCCTTACAATGTTGTCATGGGCATTTTTTAATTTGTTTCAGGTGACAACAAAAGACGGTTATATTCTTAGCTTGCAGAGGATTCCAATGGGGAAGTCTGGAATCAAATCAAACAAACCACCTGTTCTTCTTCAACATGGGATCATGATTGTGAGTACATTTTTATCATATGTTTATTTACTTACCCATTTGGAAATTGACGATCTTAATTATATTTTTTTTTTGAAATTTAAAAAAAGAATTGTATTGAAAAGTAGAGAGTCTTGTAGTGACTTTTTGGCTAAAAATATGGTTTCCCAAATACATAAGCCACAATAATCTACAAACAATGAATAAGAGATTTTGTAAAATATGTAATCCAATCTTGTAACTCCAAACCAACTTGACATTTGCAGTCTGCAATGTCTTCTACATCTGTTGAATGTTTGCGAATCACATTGACAAAGAAATCACCGAAGAAATTAACATTAACTTGTGGTTTTGTGGCAATGCAGGATGCTACATCATGGATGTTGAACTCTCCAGATGAATCTTTGCCATTCATATTGGCTGACGAGGGTTTTGATGTTTGGCTTTCCAGCACCCGTGGGACTAAATATAGCAGCGGACACACATCACTTAGTCCCAGTGATTCGGTTTCTCTTCTTTTGATCGATTGTCTTAAGCACACACGATACAAGACACTTGTTGAACATTTTTGTGATATTCTTTTGCATATATTTGTTGAGTTGGCTACAGATTCTGGCCATGTGAAGGAAAGTAGCAGCCAGCTACATGGTGGGGAAGCCATGAGGCCATGTGAGTTGGCCATGAGGCCATGAAGCCTCAATCTAGAAAGCCACCGAAATGGGCTGGCAGCCAGCTCAATTTCTCTAGCATTGGTAATATCTATATATAGAGAAGCTAAGGAGAGTTGTAAGTACAGCTGAGGGGTGTGAGCTTAGAGAGCAAAGAGAGAGAGAATTACAGAGAGTGTTGTAATTCTTACCATTTTGTTCAATATAGTGAATCCGCTGCCCGTGGACGTAGGCGACTTGCCGAACCACGTTAAACAAAGTGTGTTATTGCTTGTTTGAGTTCCCTGGTGTGCCCCCGATCCTCAACAATTGGTATCAGAGCTCGGGTTGCGAAAAATTGAATTTTCCCCGAAAGTGCCCAGATTTCGAAGTGCTCAAAATCCACTTTTGACAATACCAGGAGGAAGAACTCCCCGAGAGGAGTCCAGAGCAGCAAAAACAGAGCCCAGAAGCCTCCACACGCGCTCTCACGCGCTCCCTGAAAAACGCGTGTCAGCCACAGTCTCGGCACGCGCCTACACGCGCCGTTCAGGCACCCGGCGCGTGGTCCCAGTCTCACCCACGCGCCACACGCGCGTCTCCAGGAAGAAGACGAGCCACGTGGCGCCACGCCATCGCCACGTCAGCGCCACGTCATCCGCCACGTTAGCGCCACGTGTCAGCCCAGTCAGCCTGAGCCGCTGACCAAGCTGCGTTGACCAGCCGTCAAGCCGTGTTGATCGCGCCGCATGCGCCGTTGACTGAGCCGTTGACCAGCCGTTGACCGGAGAAAGTATCCGGTGCATCTCAGCGCACCAGATTCTTCAGATCTGACCCGTCTAAAGTGTTTTTGCCAGATCGGAGCCATTTGGAGTCCGTTTTTGACGATCCAATAGTACTTCCCAACTATTTGGAGTGTTCCGGACACATCTGTACGGTCAGTTTTTTGAATTAAAGTTTCTAAAAAAAAAATGGCAGACTCTAGATCAACCGAGTCCGTAAGTAATTCAGCCAGTACAAGCACTTCTAGGCATTGGACCCCGGTGTCCCATGCCAAGTTCGAGGTAGAGAAGTTCGATGGAAGCAGCAACTTCGGCATGTGGAGATGCGAAGTTAAGGATATGCTTGTCCAAATGAACCTGCACTTCACTCTGGGAGACAAACCAGATGACATGGACGAGATAGAATGGGAGAGGGTGAATCTCCTGGCCTGTAGTTCCATCCGACTTTGCCTTGCAAAAGAGGAGAAGTATGCCTTTACAGAATATGATATTGCGAAGAAGCTTTGGAAGGCGCTGGAAGATAAGTTCATGACAAAGAGCATTGAGAACCGGCTCTACTTGAGGAAGAGGTTGTTTCGTTTCGACTACATTAAAGGTATTTCGATGAACGAACACCTAAATAACTTCAACAAAATTATTACCGATTTGAAGAATTTGGATGATGACGTTGGTGATGAAGACAAAGCACTGTTATTGTTAAATTCCTTGCCTGACTCGTATGATCATCTCACTACTACTTTACTGTACGGTAAAGAGAAGATCAAGTATATTGATGTTGCAAACGCCTTGGTGAACAATGAGTTCAGAAGGAAAGATAAGGCTGCAAACAGGGACTCAACATCCGAGGCATTAACAGTCAGAGGCAGAACAAATAACAGAAGAAATACAAGGCGAGGAAAGTCTCGCTCAAAATCCAAGGGGAAACCTTCAGACAAAAGACAACTTGATCCATTTTTCCTTCAAGTTATACCCGAGTCTAATAACCTAGATAGATGGATAGATATATATCTCTTCAACTTCTCTTATCAGTTAATATGGGGTTCTTCATAGTCAATGTGGGGTTCTTCATATTCTTAAGCACTCAACAATGTCCATTGCTCCCACTAACTCCTCATTCGTGCACCATGTGAAAAATCCCAAACAAATAAATAATTAATCAATAACACATTAAAATTCAAAAACACTTCCTTATGACCAAGCCAGCATAAAGCAACTCTCTGTCACCAAAAAAAAAAAAAAAAAAAGCATAAAGCAACTCTTATTAAAGGCTTGCTTTTCTTTTCTTTCAGAGTTTTCTATTTGTTAATTTTGACACCCTTTACATACACTTATTAAAAAAAGGGAAAAAAAAAAAAAAAAAAAAAAAAAAAAAAAAGGAGATATCACGGCGTTTTTTAAAAATGCCACTTAAAACCCAAAATATTAACGGTTAGATTTTTTAAAAAGATATGACGGCGTTTAAAAAATGTCGCTAAATATCATAATGATGTCATGGTATTGTCCAGTAAGACATTTAGCGGCGTTTTTAAAAATGTCGCCTATACTAATATAACGACATTTTTAAAACGTTAGGAAGTTATAGCGACAGTTGCGTCCTCGGCGCTTAACGCTAAGCGTCGCAAGAAGAATTAGCGGCGTTTTTGACACTTATAACGCCACTAAAAGCTGAATTTCCTGCAGTGACTCTTACCCTCCACCTTGATCGCGCAGAAGCGTTGCGTACCCGTGATCTCGATTGGAAACTAGACGACCCACAGTTTGATCTTTTTTTCTCTCATAATTTGTGTCACTATGATTTCGATGGATTCAACTACTTCTATTTGCCATATCGAATTGACATCAGATGTGCTGCGAGATTAAAGTGTTGAACACAAATTTCATGAACACCCATTAAGCCCCATACTCAGCCCGGCCTTGTTCGAATGTCATGCTTGTTGTACACAACATGATAAAGGCTTGTCCTATATGTGTAGCACCTGTGACTTCTGGATCCACGAGGACTGTGCTTTATTACCAACCACCAAACATAGAGGTCACGTTCACCCTCTCACCCTCTACTATTCTTCATTGTATGACGCAAGTTGTCGTGTTTGTCAGGAGGGATTTAGGACTTACCAATGGAGTTATCAATGTAGAGGATGCCAATATCATGCTCATGCAAATTGCGCAACAAAGACCAAGTAATCTATAATGCTTTTTCTTTTTCTTTCTTTTAAATGTTGGCTATATCTTTTCTTGTCATTGGATTTACATTCTATTTTTACTTTTGTGGATCTAGGGAAATCGAAACTGTGACCGGAGTTGAGGTACTTGATATGACCAATCTATTTCACTTGCCAATGCCTGACGAATCAGTTAATCTATTCAATCAATTTGTAGAGCAACTCAATGTCCCAACAGTCAATCTAATCGATCAATTTGTGGAGCAACTCGATTTGGAACACGCAAGCAATAAGATAGAAGCAAAGCTCTACAATTCTATTCATAGCCATCCATTGATCCTTTTCAATGTGGATAGTGAAGATAATTTGTGTTCTATGAGCAAACTATCTATTCATAATGATGAGCAGAAAAATGAAAAAATATGTGATGCTTGTGTGCAACCCATCTCGGTTCCATTTTATAGTTGTAGTCATAGTCAATGTGACTTCTTTATGCACAAATGCTGTGTCGAGCTACCCATTGAGATACAACACCCATGTCACCCACACCCTCTCTCTCTCGACAATAGGAGCAGTTATTTTGGATGGTTTACATGCAGACTGGAAAAGAGTATTGGGCCTGTAAGCTGAACAAATCGTTGTACGGATTGAAGCAGTCCCCGAGACAGTGGTACAGGCGATTTGATCGGTTCATGATGGAGACAGAATACACAAGAAGTCAATTTGATCATTGTGTATATTTCCGTAAGCTTCCCGACGGTTCCTTCATCTATTTGCTCTTATATGTAGATGATATGCTGATTGCATCTATGAGCAAGGTGGAGATTGACAAACTCAAGGCACAGTTAGCAAGGGAGTTTGAAATGAAGGATTTGGGAGAAGCAAAGAAAGTTCTTGGCATGGAGATCAAGAGAGACAGGAAGAAGGGCACGGTTTGTCTGACACAAACCCAGTATCTGAAAAAGGTGTTAGACAGATTTGGCATCAATGGGAAAACCAAAGCTGTAAGTACACCATTGGCCCCTCATTTCAGGCTTAGTGCTTCGTTGTCTCCACGTACAGAAGAAGAACGGAAGCATATGGCACAGGTTCCATATGCAAATGCAGTTGGTGCATTAATGTATGCTATGGTTTGTACACGGCCTGACATCTCGCATGCTGTGAGTATGGTAAGCAGGTATATGCATGATCCAGGAAAAGATCACTGGCAGGCAGTGAAATGGATCCTAAGGTACATACATGGCACGGTCAATCTGGGATTGAAGTTCTAGAGAGATAACCGACTCGGGCAGAATTTGGAAGGATATGTGGACTCAGATTATGCTGGTGACTTAGACAAACGCCGGTCAACAACAGGGTATTTATTTACGCTTGCTAAAGGGCCGGTAAGTTGGAGGTCAACGCTTCAGTCAACGGTGGCTTTGTCTACTACAGAGGCAGAGTACATGGCAGTAACGGAAGCCTTTAAGGAAGCTATTTGGCTACATGGGTTGATTGAAGACTTGGGAATTGTTCAGAAGCACGTTGAGGTGTTTTGTGACAGTCAGAGTGCCATTTGTTTGGCAAAGAACCAGGTTCATCATGCCCGCACCAAGCACATTGATGTCCGTTTCCATTTCATCCGAGAAATTGTGAATGAAGGGGATATTCTGCTTCAAAAGATTGGTACTGCAGATAATCCGGCCGATATGCTCACAAAGGTAGTTTCTGGGATCAAGTTCCAACATTGTTTGGACTTGGTCAACATCTCTCGGAACTGAGCACCTTCGGGTGCATGGCAGTGTTGATCGATCACTATGTTGGATAAGAGAATCCTCGCCAAGGTGGAGATTTGTTGAGTTGGCTACAGATTCTGGCCATGTGAAGGAAAGTAGCAGCCAGCTACATGGTGGGGAAGCCATGAGGCCATGTGAGTTGGCCATGAGGCCATGAGGCCATGAAGCCTCAATCTAGAAAGCCACCGAAATGGGCTGGCAGCCAGCTCAATTTCTCTAGCATTGGTAATCTCTATATATAAAGAAGCTAAGGAGAGTTGTAAGTACAGCTGAGGGGTGTGAGCTTAGAGAGCAAAGAGAGAGAGAATTACAGAGAGTGTTGTAATTCTTACCATTTTGTTCAATATAGTGAATCTGCTGCCCGTGGACGTAGGCGACTTGCCGAACCACGTTAAACAAAGTGTGTTATTGCTTGTTTGAGTTCCTGGTGTGCCCCGATCCTCAACAATATTCTATGCTTGGCAGGCTTACTGGGATTGGTCGTGGGATGAATTAGCCGCTTATGATCTTCCTGCATCATTCCAGTATGTTCATGACCAGACACGGCAGAATCTGCACTATGTTGGACACTCCTTGGTAAGTTTCCATGTTTTTGCAATCACTTGCTTTTGGAGATACCTTTTATTTCACTTTAATAGTGGATTTATGAACTAAGTTTTATGATTTTGTTTGACATAAAGAAGCTACTAAGCGTGACTTTTCTTTTTGATTCTACTTCATAGGGAACTTTGATGGCTCTTGCTGCATTTTCCCAACACAATTTAGTGAACATGTTAAGGTCGGCTGCTTTGCTATGCCCCATTGCTTACTTGGGTCAGATTCCTGCACAACTTACAAGAGCTGCTGCTGATTCTTTTGTCGCTGAAGTAACGATAAATTTTTCTCTTTTGTTTGACTTCAAATTGAAGTAAAGTTTGCTCATGATTTTCCCCTTTCTTCTTCTGTTTTTTTAATCTCGTTGCCCCTTTTTTTATATAGTTTTTTTTGGCAGGACTTGTACTACTGGTTGGGCCTCCATGAATTTATTCCAGGAGGGTGAGAAAGGACAATTTTATTTTAACTACTACAAAGCATCACATATTCAATAAAATTCATGGTTCTTTTGATTTGTTCTTATTGATGCTTAATAGAAAATAGAACCAAATCCAAACGATACAATACAAAATCACAGTAAATTTTTTAGGTTTAACAACTTATGTGGCCATGATTAAAAACCTTAAACCTTAAAAAATGCGAAAGTGGTAAATTTGACGTACATGTACAATTTCTACATTTGTTTAATTTTAACATCTTTTTGATCATTTCGAAAGAAACGCAGAGGTTGAGTGTTAATCTGTAGTATTTTAAATAATCTAATTTTTTTCAAAATATAAACAGGGAGGCTGTTGCCAACCTAGTGGAAGAAATTTGCAACAAAACGCACAGTAATTGTTCCAACTTAATGGTTGCCTTGACTGGTAATATTAATCTTCTAATCTGAACTCGGAAAAGATAATTTTTTCTACTTCTTCTAACCCGACTTTTTGCATTTTGCTAAAAACAGGCCAGACTTGTTGTGTAAATTCTTCCATAATAGATGTTCTTCTTGAGTTTGAACCTCAGCCAACGGCCACGAGGAACCTTATCCATCTAGCACAGAGTAAGTTTCTCTCGTCTAGCTCGGCATAAGTTTCTTGAAGATCACCTGAAATGAAAGACCATTTCAGAAACCAAAACATATTTGGCAATAAAATTTTCCTTAAGAAAATAGATGAAAGTGCACGAAAATGTATAAAAATATCTTGTTCTTATGTAGTGGTTCGACATGGGAGCATAACAATGTATGATTATGGGAATGAAGATGACAACAACAAACACTATGGGCAGCCCACTCCTCCTGTGTACGACATGGCAAGCATCCCAAACGACGTTCCTCTTTTCATAGGCTATGGAGGACAAGATGACCTTGCCGATGTGAAGGATGTGAAGAAACTGCTAGGCACTCTAAAAAACCATGATGCTGATAAGCTTGTAACACTCTACAGGGAAGAGTATGCACATGCTGATTTTGTCTTAGGCGTAAATGCAAACCAAGTTGTTTATGATCCTCTCATGGCCTTCTTCAAGCTCCACTGACAACATGTGTAACATAAAATGAAAAATTGTATTACAAATGCTTTTTGTAAATTATGAATAGAACCACTTCTTTTGGTGTCCAATTGCAACAGTTATATCAGGATTTTTATCCTTAATTACCGGTATTGTTAAGTTTTTGGGGTAAATGTGGAAAATATACATTTACCTTGTGTTAATTTATGGAATGCAGTATTTTTCTGAGGTGATGATGAATTTAATTTCACTTCTTGAGTTAATACTATGCCCCATCATCTTGCTCTAGGAGTACTACTATATAAAACTGGATCTTGGAATCAGACCTTGAGTGAAACACATTATTAGAATTAAGCACTTCTCTCATTTGCATAAGTAAGTTCTTAATTAAATTCCAGGCTTCGAGTTGTTCATTAGAAAATAGATATATCTTTTGGAGAATATTATTTTGTCATTGTATTGGTATTATTGGCAATGTATAGTACCTTTTGATAGAGACATGAATGGTTGGAATAGAAACCTCTGGCTGCTACCATGTGGACAAGAATTTTTAGATGAAATTTTTAACAATATGATAGCAGTTCTTGCAAATTGATGTCTAAGAGACAGTTGTCCACACTGGTGATATGTGTAATTCTATTCCTCTAAATCATCCAATGCAATGTTCTTTTCACTTAGCATAAACATCTAAACTAAGAATTTTTTATTTTATTTAAATGTTGTGGCAGCAATGAAATCTTGTATTGGTATTACTGGCAACGTATAGTAGTACCATCATCTTTCTCTAGGAGTACTACTATATAAAACTGGATCTTGGAATCAGACCTTGAGTGAAACACATTATTAGAATTAAGCAGTTCTCTTATTTGCATAAGTAAGTTCTTAATTAAATTCCAGGTTTCGAGTTGTTCATTAGAAAATAGATATATCTTTTGGAGAATATTATTTTGTCATTGTATTGGTATTATTGGCAATGTATAGTACCTTTTGAGAGAGACATGAATGGTTGGAATAGAAACCTCTAGCTGCTACCATGTGGACAAGATCTTTTAGATGAAATTTTTAACAATGATAGCAATTCCTTCAAATTGATGTCTAAGAGACAGTTGTCCACACTGGTGATATGTGTAATTCTATTCCTCTAAATCATCCCATGCAATGTTCTTTTCACTTAGCATAAACATCTAAACTAAGAATTTTAAATGTTGTGGCAGCAATGAAATCTTGTATTGGTATTACTGGCAATGTATAGTAGTACCTTTTGAGAGAGACATGAATGGTTGGAATAGAAACCTCTAGCTGCTACCATGTGGACAAGATTTTCTAGATGATATTTTTAACAATGGTAGCAATTCTTGCAAATTGATATCTAAGAGACAGATATTTATATTGTCCACACTGGTGATATGTGTAATTCTATTCCTCAAAATCATCCAATGCAATGTTCTTTTCACTCAATATAAACATCTAAACTAAGAAAAATATATATATTATATTTTTTATTTAAATGTCGTGGCAGCAACGTAATCTTGTTGTGGGAACAAAAAGAGCCATATGTCAGTCAATGGCTAACGCTCTAGCCACTTCAGTTTTAGTAATTCTCTTCTGTGTGTTGCCCTTGGTGGCCGATGATGGTATTTGCCAGTCAATGGTGGTGTCACAAGGCTATGTTTTTGTGAAGACCATTAAGTATGATTTTTTATGCACTATTTAATGTACTATGTCCTCTGAATTATGTATTTACTGATGGATTAAGCGACTTGAATGAGTTTTCAGGTAACAAAGAAGGATGGTTATATTCTTGGCATGCAGAGGATTCCGGTGGGCCGCTCTGGCAAGAAACCTGACAGGCCGCCTGAGGATTCCGGTGGGCCGCTCTGGCAAGAAACCTGACAGGCCGCCTGTTCTTCTACAACACGGGCTCTTGGTGGTTATATTATTTTTTTCATGTTATTATTATATTATTTTTTTTGCGATACAGATTGATAGACAAAAGATATCATGAACGAGACAAATTATGTTGTTATGGCAGGATGCTATAACATGGCTGTTGAATCCTCCTGGCGAGTCTTTAGGATTCATCTTGGCAGACAATGGATTTGATGTTTGGCCTGCCAACTCCCGTGGCACCAAATCTAGCCGTGGACACAAATTGCTTAGTCCCAGTGATGCGGTTCTCTTCATTTTAGTGCATCTCTTTATATCATACAAAATGTGATATCTTCAACTTCTGATTTTCTTTTGCATATGTATGATTTTTAGGCTTATTGGGATTGGTCATGGGATGAATTAGCTGCTTATGATCTTCCTGCTTCATTCCAGTATGTTCATGATCAGACGGGGCAGAACCTGCACTATATGCTTGGATTGTGTTATCACTTGTTTTAAAACTTACAATTATCAAAGTACTGGAATTTTGTTCGACACAAAGGAGGTGCTAAGAGTGATTTCTTTTTACTGATAATTCTTAGGGAACTCTGACTGCCTTGGCTGCTTTTCCCAAATGAATTTATTGACCATGTTAAGGTCAGCAGCTTTGCTTGCCCCCCTTGCTTACCTTGGTCAGATGCCTTCCCCATTTGCAAGAGTTATAGCCGATGGTTTTATAGCTGAAGTAATAGTAACTCTTCGGTTTCAATTTTATTCGAATTTGAAGTAGAACTGTTTGGTTACAGTCCTTTTGGTTTCTTAATCTCATTTTTGACAGGACTTTTACTTGTTGGGGTTTGTTGAATTCGCTCCTGGAGGGTGAGAAAACAATTTTAAAATTCTACTTTCACTAGTACAAAGCATTAGAAGGAAATCCAAAAGATACAACAGGAAGTGATTGTTATCATGATTGGAAATCTTGATATTTGAGTTTTATTTAACTACAAAAACTTTTAAATATGCGTTAAATACATTCGATGAACATGTTCATTTTGCATAATGTCATTTCTTTATGCAAATAGGGAGGCTGCTGCTAGACTTTTGAAGTTTATCTGCGATATAAGGCAAAGTGACTGTGCCGACTTGATGACTGCTGTTACGGGTAATATTTATGTTTCTGCTCTTCTCATTAGTTCTCCATCACTGACGACATTGTTTGACTGATAAAAATAGGAAAGAATTGCTGCTTGAATGCTTCCAGGACAGACATTTTTCTCGAAAATGAACCTCAGTCATCCGCAACAAAGAATCTCATCCACCTAGCCCAGAGTAATTTTCTTCAATCTTCTTTTTACATCTCCACCTGAAATGAAACACAATGGAAGCAACCAAAACATCTCTGGCAACAACATTTTCTGAGGCAAATAGTAAAACTTGGTCTATTATTGTTCTCGTTAAAATTCATGAAAAATTTGAAGGTTTTTCTCAAAGTGTTTTCTTGAGGAAACATCTAAGTCAACCTATTCAATACAAGGGTAAAGACTATTGTATGGATTGATCTATGGGTGCTTCCAAGAATATTGGCCAAGTTTTTTGAGGGGAATATCGGATAAAATTGAAAACCGGAAAAATAATTGAAAATTTCGCCTTATTGATTTGCAATTATTTTTCCCGTTTTATCCCTTTCTTCTTCCTCTTCTTTTTTTTTTTTTTTTTGGATTGTGGTTTTGCAACAGTGATTCGACAAGGGACCCTAGCAATGTATGATTATGGCAACGAGGATGAGAACAACATACACTACGGGCAGCCTGCTCCTCCCGTGTACAACACGGCAAGCATCCCAAATGACCTTCCTCTGTTCCTCAGCTATGGAGGGCAGGACTTGCTTTCTGATGTGAATGGTGTGCAGACACTGCTAGATACCCTCAAAGATCATGATGCCTACAAACTTGTGGTACAGTACAAGGAAAATTATGCACATTATGATTTCATTTTTGGTTTTAATGCTAAGCAAGTTGTGTATGATCCTCTTGTGGCCTTCTTCAGGCTCCACTGAGAAAATTTGTACTGTAAAATTGTGAAGTATGACCAGTATTTTTGTAAATTTTTGGGCAGCATGATGAGAAAAATACATTGTATGAATTTCATGAGCAGCATTGAATGGATCAACATCATTTGCGGCTCTTTTATTTTCTTTGTTTTTTTATTTATTGAATGAAGAGCTCATCAGAGTGAGTAGCACAAGACGACAAAATTGAAGTTACTTTCACTAATGTAGTTCAAGCTTGACTCAATACATTTGAACTACTTATGACCAATTTCATCAAAACAAACTTAAACTAAGCTCTTCCTTTTTTTAGTACTAAGACTACTTTGGATAAACTTGTAGGCAACCACTTGACAATCCTAACTTTACACTTCAACCACAACTATGACAAATTAGGAGTCTAAATCATTACCAGAATGGTATTTTGGGCTTTTGGTACAATGTAATATTGCACTAATGAATTAGATGATCCATTTGAAATTGAAGTTACTTAACCCAAATTGAAAATTTTAGCGAAAATTTTGAAATTTGAAGGACTAAAGTGACACTGAAACACATTTTAGGGAGGATAGGTATATTTTTATCCAATATTACTATATTGAACGGATCTTATCAGACCTTATAATTGGGAAGTGTTTGTCTCATTTGCGTAAGTAAATTCTTAATTAAAAATGCAGGAAATTTTTGGTGTAATATTATTTTGTTGAGAGAGACGTGAATGCTTAGAATAGAAACCTCCTGCTATCATGGGACTCTATCCTGATTAGATTTTAGAATACAAGACATTGAGATTGAGATGATATTTTTTAGTCAGGTTTCCCTCTAGCTGGGCATCTCCAACTGAAAGGTGTTGTTGGGCTTCGTGGGTTCAATCGCAGCTCCACATCGATGATCTGAATTGTTCATCTCATAAGGCCCTCCGAGTAGATCATTCATGTAAAAATCAAGTTGATCGGGTAATAGTAGCGATAGGATCAAACAAGATTTGCCTTCAAAAAAATGGACGACGAGTATGGTTTGAAGAATTGACTATCTATTTATTTAAAATAAATGTGAATTGATCAAATGGCTATGGTTGTCTGATAAACCAAATTTTTTGCATAAATAATGTACTCTACGAGCTATTCAAATCATCAAGATGGAGCTTGTGATCCCAACTGGAGAGGATCGTGGCCCGATATTTTTATCCATGATAGCAATGCTTTCAAATTGATATCTGAAGGGGCTAAATGTGAAATGGGTCGGGTCCAAGCCTTGGGCCGGCCCAATCCACTGAAGTCCGAATCCAAGTGGGTTGGATGAGTATATGGGCAAACCAATTGAGCCCAACTTCATGATCAACAGTCCACCCAGATCCTCAAGCACTTGGGCCCAACCCGCAGTGGAAAGGCTAGTCCAACCGTGGTACTGGGCTGGGCTGGGCTGGGCTGAGCTGCGAGACTGAACCTATGGGCCGAGCAGAAAATGGGCCGAGCCCATACAAAGATATCCGAATGGATAAGCTCATCTCCATGAATGATCCGTAAAAGGCCGAGACAAGGCATAATGATGCCGAGCTAA